ACAGGCGATCCCCTCTATCTGGTAAATGACGCATGAAGGCGCGCATAATTGACGAACTTTTCCGGTGAAGGACATAACTCGAAAGTGGTCTATTACAGGCTCCTGACTTAACGTTTCTTTATAACACTGCATCATCACTACTCACAAAGAAACTGATATCAACTTTTATTTTCATTATTGCTGCTGCTCACATCTATAGAAATGTCTCTACATAGCAATGATCATTTCTTATTTCCCTTGACTTGTTTGAGTTGGGATATTAACATTTTGTAATTATATACTATGTACCATAACATGCAGAAATCTATGCATGTTAAGTCTATGTAAGTATAGCACTAACAGAAATAAGCAACGGATTCCAGGAGATATATATAGCTTACTTCGGAAACACAATATTAAGCTATTGGTAACTTCTGAGAACTCCTCAATCAGGTTATATTAAAAAAAGCTTGTGTTATCCTTCCACAAACCATCTTTGCTCTACAATACCAACCTTTAACATTTCTTAGATTTTCTGTCCAGTTTGTTATATTCAGGAAGCACCTGTTGGCTGTGCAAACTTTTTATTTGTTATATCAAGAGCTACATTAAGTTATGTTAGATATAAAAACAAATATTCATCAAGTGAAACAGCTTTTTAATGACCATAGCTTAGATTTTTCCCAGTTCCACCTTAGTAATTTTGCCTCAATACCTGACATCTTTTAAATTAAAATATAATTAATAAGTATTAGATACAATACAAAGGTAACAAAGAAACAGGCCGGTAACAACCGTTGCCGGATAGTTTTTCTGCACGAGTAGTCAGGTGAAGGTCCGAGGCGATAGCCGAGGACCTTGACCTGACTACGAGTGCAGAAAAACTATTCGGCAGTTTGTTTCCGGCCTGTTTTTTTTTTTGTTACCTTTGTTTTGTATCTGACTTGTACGACGTTTCAAGAAAGAAGTAGTACATTTTGCATGTAGAAGAGGTAGCAAAATTTAACAGATTCAAAACTTAAATGGCCATATACCAGTTAATGTAAGTTACAGTAAGACAGTTCAAACAAACTTTTTTTTCACTTCCCTTCAGCCTATATTTTTTTCTAAAGAAATTCAAGAATCTAATAATGCATCTTCGCAAGTAAGTAATGTATGAAAAAGATTTCAGAGGTAAGCAAGCTAACATTTGATTTTTATTTGGGGGAAAACGGAAAGGGGGGGGGGGGGGGGTTAAAATAAATTTAAAATAAACAGGCTCGATTCTTTTTTGTTGAAAACATGCAGGATATGTCATTCCATTCCCCCATTCCGCCTTAAAAAATAATAAAAATCGTACGTTTGCTCCCAAATATATAAATTCAATAACAATATAAAAAGAATGAATTTCCTATTTCATTAGTGAATGAAATGGTACGAAAAAATCGATTTTGTCTTGTTAAAATCACCCATATATAGGCATATATTTTGGATTTAAAAAAAAAATTATGCTTATAGGTTTTTATATATGTCTCTTATAGTGTTGGTCAGGATCAAACACGTGTCACAATATGATCCAATCGAAGCTTGCCGTCCAAAATTAGTGACATAAGTTGAATGATTTTCTTCAAGATTTGCTGCCTATTTGAACATGTATTACACGGACACTTTTTATTTATAGGATCAATCGTGCATTGGTGAGTTGATAGGGATTTTATCTTTTGATTTGATTAGATTTGATTTTTTTATATATATTTCCTGTCTTTTTTATTGAAATATAAACGTCGGTACCAGCATTTCTTTACTTTCAGCATTGTCCAGAATACTATTCATGTCCATATATTGAAAAAAAATACATTTACGGACCGACCATTTAGCTTCAAAAGGGGGGTAAGTTTTTTTTCTGAGTAAGAAAATGATTTAGTTTATCAACGCTATCACCCAAATATTTTTTTCCGAAATTAGCGCCATTATATACGGTATTCGGAAAATCAGGAATCAGAACATTATTTTGTCATCTGATTGACCACAATATATTTTTTTCTCATAAGATTGGGGATCAGAATATTTTTTTAGGAAAAAACATAAACTCCCCTTTTGAAGTTAAATGGTCAATCCCTTAGTGTACTGATATGAATAGTAATATACTGGAATTGTTTGAAAAAAATATAGTTATTGATGCCAACGTAAATATTTTAATGAAAAAGACAAGAAATATGTCGGTGAAACAAAAAGTTCAAATCTAATTGAAATTTAAAGTGCCCATGAACTCACTGATCATGCACGAGTGATTCTATTCATAAAAAGTGTCCGTGTAACAACTAAAAAGTGTCCGTGTATCATCTAAAAAGTGTCCGTGTAACACCCGTTAAAGTACTGTTTTTCTATAGCTCTGCTGGGGGCAAAGTCGTACAACTTACAAAAGAGTATTTATTTCACGTGTTATTTATGCTTTAGGTGATGTTGAGTTCTAACAATTCCCCCTTAATATTAAATGTATATAAAAGCTTATAAATCAACTATCTTGAACCTGAATATTTTACCAGAAAAAGTACTCCATTTTTGTCGTATCATATCAATAAACGTATTGCTTTATTTCAGTATGTTATCCATCAAACTTTTATATTAATACATATTAAATGAATGTTATTTATACTATGATTTTACAGAGAGATTTAAATAAAAATGGCCAACCTCTTTAACTGGAACTTTCCTTTTTGTTAGAGCAAATTAAAGGAAAGAGATAAGACCATGTACATATATATACAGAGAGAACAATTAGGAAATTATCACAGATCGTGTATAAGGAACTCTGAGAGTTCTGTAAAAGTCATACGAGTACTTCATACTAAATGAATTTTAGAAACATTTTCTTTGCCTCTATGAATCTTTATAGACAAATCTAAACTATACTGTATAGGATCTGATACTGAGTATAACTTTTCCCAGTTTTTCCAGTTCATGAAAGTTCATATCACTTGTTTCATATGATTATTTTAGCTTTTTTCTTTTTAATTGTCTTTTTCCTTTTGGGCATTCTTATTTGTTCAGTATTATCAGCTTGTTCCGGAGAAACAAACGGTTGTTTCTTTTTCCTCCATTTCTTTTTCTTTGATCGTTTCTTCGTTGTCTTTTTTCCTTTTGACTTTTGTCCACCTTTTTGTACAGCTTCATTATCTTCACTCGACGATTCGGAACTCCCCTCTCCTGTAGGTACCGATATGATGCACGACAAATGTTCATCCGGAATTACCATGACTTTTGACTGTTCACTACTTTGGTAATTTGTTACATGTCCAGTAGTAGCGGGCGTTGACGTATTTCGCATCACTTCCGGTCTGGATCCGCTCCGTGTATGATCTGTTCTGTATATGTCCGGGCTTAAGCCACCATCTTTGATTGATTCGTCACTCGAATTGGAACTGCTGTTACTATAAACTTCTTGTTTATCCGATGGCCGGTTTGCAGGTGCTATTATGTTAATATTATTGCAACTTAATAAAACAGGATCTTTATTTTCAACACTTGAGATGCTGCCAGGGTTCTTAGAATTATATCCACTATCACCTGGTTTTCTGTTCAAACCAATAGAACCAGTTTCTTTTAAAGGTTTGCTTGTTAAAGGGCCTAGCTTTCGATGTTCACCTTTTTTCAACTTACTGATAGAGGATCTGTCTGATTTGAGATCAATACTGACTTCAGACTCGCTGTTATCTCTGACCTTGTGGGATGACATCGGAAGCTCTGTATGCGTTTTTGAAGACTTGTCAACGAATCCACGGTCGGAATGAAGGTTCAAACTGTCATCAGATTTTTCACTAAATGTTCGTCTGGCATTTTGTCGAGAGGTTTCGAAAGTACGAGTTTTGAGATCGTTAGAGCTGACAAAGTTCTCACTCTGTTTGTAAACCTGATTATTATGGTCATGTCCAGCAGTATCACTGTAAACATAAAGATAAATTTGGACACAACCAAGACAGCTACCTATCAAAGATCATCGGAAAGAAATGAAATATATTTAGAACAACAACAAACACCATTATGGCTTCATTTTTCTAAATTTGAATGTATATCTATTCTTTTTTATATTGAACCGACTTCTGTCTCAGTTCAGTCTACAATAAAGACACCTTATCTACCATCAAAGACGATGTATCACGTGAGATATTTATACGCATATCTTGCTGTCCGAAAAATATATTATAATTTATATAAATTCAAAATCGTATTCCTTGTTACCACTGTATTTATCAAATTGTAAGAAAATATCTAGATGTCATTTGGGTTTTTGTTGTAAATATATCGGTGTTTTTTAGACGTATGAACCCAACATCCACTTTTGCTCATATCGACTAAGCTGGAATGTTAGATAAATAACCAAACTCAGAATAAGATTAAAAAGTGCTTACACATCAATAGCTGACGGTGTTATAGTTACTGATCTCCTACCATAGTGAGAAATATTGTCCACATGATCTCTGTAAAAAATTGTGACGTAAATAACCATATAGAATTTATTCAACGTCATTCAAATTAACAGAGAATTGTTTATTTAGAGAATCACCAATGAACGTGCATTTGAATCGGATATGTTTACCCTTCCGAAACACGTGATATATTTTGGGCTTTATCGTTTTGAAGAACATATTTCAGTCATCATAAATGCTGCACTTAAGCAATTGTCTCAACCATTGTAAGCTGATATTTTCTTATCTGATAAAAAAAAGCCATGCTTAAAAAAGAAAAAAAGCAATTGGATCTGTTTGTCCTGTACCTGTTTTCAATCGATTGTAAACCGATATTTTACTAATACTTAGTATCCATTTTTAATTAGCCGTGATCACTAGTTAGACAGGAACTGCATACCCATTCGGAGCACCTCTGTACTTAATTTCCATGATCTATATTTGATGTGATATTAAATGGACATTTTATCTTTAATCGACCCCATTTTTTGGTGGGGTTCGTGTTGCTCAGTCTTTGGTTTTCTATGCTGTGATTTGTGTACTGTTTGTATTTTTCTTTTTACGCCATGGCGTTGTCAGTTTATTTTCGACTTATGAGTTTGAATGTCCATTTGGTATCCTTCGCCTCTCTTATAATAATACTTACTCCTCCATTCGTTTTACTCCACCTGAAATAAACATATTATTAATATTTACATCCTCAGTAGTACTGTTTGAAATATCTCATAAAATTTTACTGTACATTGCAATATTCATATAAAATATTTAGTTGTGAAACACGCAGAACTGAAAGAAAACAATTTATTTTCCTTTCTGAGATAACTATGAATAAAATAGAGAATGGAAACGGGAAATGTGTCAAAGAGATAACAAATCGACCAAAGAGCAGAAAACAGTCCAGGGCCACCAATGGGTCTTCAACACAGCGAGAAAATACAGACCACAAAATCACAAAAAAATGATTCAAGTAAAATATAGATAAAACGAAATTTTTATGGATGGTACATTCAAAATTTTACATTATTTTTTGGAGCAGCTTTTTATACCATTAGTTGATTAAAAATGAAAACTATATTACTCTTATGTTCATTCTGTTGTCTGGAAATGATCCTAGTGTCCTGTAGAAAAAGCGCAAAAGACCTTTTTAAAAAAACACAAATGTCCATTAAAAAAGCGCAAACGTCCCGCGCTGTAAATTACAACAACACGTCCCTGTTCACAAGATCTGACCTCTTCTTAAATTAAAACAAGTATTCGTGGTAAACAAGATCTGACCTCTTCTTAAATTAAAACAAGTATTCGTGGTCAACAAGATATTGCATCCTCTTACACATCTGACCTCTCAACTTCAATTAAAATCCCTAAATTTGTAATACGATATCTTAAGGTCTTGAAGGAAGGCCTTCATTTCCGTATTCTTTAGTTAATAGGCTATTTTTATCTATTCCTCATATTTTGGCCAATATTTTCTATATTCTTTATAACAACGCATCGGTGGTCTCGTGGTTGCATGTTCGCCTCGAGTGCGGGAGATCGTAGGTTCGAACCAAAGACTTTAAAATTGTCCGGGAAGGGTGATTGATATATGTCTTCCTGCTGACTGTTGCCTTGTGAACTAGCACGCTAAAAATCCGCTTCAGCGTGTCGGTCTAGTACAAACAGGGTTAGTATCCGTTTTAGTTTATCATATTTCAGTCCTGAATATGCATTTAATTTGCCGCTGGACGTTAAGCATCCATCCGTCGTCATCATTTATTCTTTAGTTTTTTTCACTACGATTGTCGTTCTTTAAATTGTTTGACCACTTTTCACTATTCTTTACCCCCTCCCCCTTTTATATTCTGTATTCTTGTAACCTCATCAAGGCCCTCATTACATATCGGTCTACGAGAAAGTTACTATCATTTTATTTAAAAAATATGATATCTCAGTCCAATGATATAGGTACCATCCCCTTTATTTTAAACAACAAATCTCGGTAAACGGACTGTAAGCGAACCATCCATTTATTGAAACAAAAGTATCGATTTACAAAATATATACCATCCTTTTATTAAAAAAATGATACCTCAGTCTACAAGATCTGTACCGTCCCTTTATTTAAAACAAGATATCTTCATCTACAAGAAAGGTATTTTCCCCATTTATTTGAAACAACAAATCTTGATATACGACATATATCTACCGTCCTTTTATTAAAATAACATCTCTTAGTAATATCCTTTATTTGAACGAAAGATCTCGGTCCGAGAAAAAACGGAGTGGCTATTTATACGGCCAGTAACTAGTTCTCCCAAACAAACTACTAGACAATCAGTAACTAGATTACTTACTTTTGTCTCTACTACAACATCTTACAAACATATAAATTACCATACACACAGTCAGTAACTGTAATAAGGTTCCAGGTACTATAAATGCTGCGGATCTTTCAACAGTTACATCTGAAATGGTATATGTTTATCTATCTAGTAATACGAGAATGCTGTGACGTCGGACGGACTTTTTGGGACTTGTTGGGACCGATGTCACACGGCTCAAGCAAGTCTAAAAGGCCGTCAGACTACTATATTCCTATTCTTCAATAAGCTAGTATAAGCTGTGGGCCGAATCCCCGAATTCAAGCAGAATTGCTCCTGCTACATTATATTCATGTTAATATCGGTTCATAGACCATCGACAGTCCTCGGAGGTCATCTAGATGGTTGGTTAGATGGCGTCAAGTATAAAATACACACGAAATACAAATACATTATAAGGAAAGAGTCAATGCATTGTTAACTGTTACGTTAGGACTTTTTGTAATTTAGATATAGTGTTACGTTTAAGTAAAATTAAAAATGAGATTTGACATATTTCATGGAGAGTTTTTACTGTTGAAAATCGTATAGGATGACCTATAAATGAAAATAAAATTTAATAAATCATTTGCGTGCTATTCTCTTTTCTGGATTTACCTTCATTAGAAAAGCTCAAAGCTAAACATTGAAAGTCATGAATGTATAAGTTGAAAACGTAAGGAGCTGTATGACTAAAAAAGCCTAAAAAGAATAGCCAATTCCATCTCAGGTCAGCTTTGCCTTTAACCGTCTAGATTTATTCTGCCGTGTGTATATATCTTTCATCTTCCTTACCTGAACATTCTGTATTTCCACAGTCCACTGCCACCACAATGCCAGCGATTACAAAACAGAGAAGGACTGTTATGATTGCAGACGTCATGTACAGCTTTATTTTTATACTGGATTCGTGTGTAGACTCTGTAAAATTCGGTTAAACATGACCATATATATATGTACAAACAGATGCCAAAAAAGGTGAAAAAAAAACATCAGTTCAAACCTTTATACAGTATTATAGTTTATATGGTTAAGACAAATAGTGCAAGTACAATGCGTGATGACTATAATTTGTGTCGACCCGACGTCTAACAACAATTCGCTATTAATTCGGTTTTTATGCTCTTCAACTTTGTTTTTGATTTGGCCTTCCAGCTGGTTTAATTCGAGCACCACTGATGAGTTTTATGTGGACGAAACGCGCGTCTGGCGTTCCAAATAATAAGCCAGGTATCTTTGGTGATATTTTTTCTGTGGTTGTTTGTTTTCAGTTGTTCTTGACTAGATTGTTTAGCAGTTATCCTTTTATAGTTGTTATGTGTGCCCTACACAGTGAAATTTCACTTACGTGAATTTCACATAAATTTAGATTCATGTGAATCATGTGAAATTGATGTGAATTTCACCACAAACGAGTTTATACGTGAAACTCACATAAATCTCATGTCCAAACTTACCAAGTACAAACAATGATAGTTTCCCTGTATTTAAGAGTATCTTGTACAGTGCAAATATAAAAATTCCTCCAATAACCATGCCAACCAATGAAAACAAAACAGCATATCCAAAGGCTTCGTTAGTTGTCAATCTTCGCAAAACTATAAAAAAAAATAAGATTATAGGAATGTTATACTAGAGAAATCTTAATATCTCGTTCGATAATTTATTTATTCGAACTTTAATTCAAGCAAAATTAAAAACACTGAGGTTGTGACTTCAAATCTCGCTCGTTGCGACTCCGATCTAAATGAAAAAAGGAGTGCAAGTTTTCGTGTAAAAGTCTTCTGTTCACTCCAGGTATTCCGGCTTCCCTCGCCAATATTAACTGACCGCCATGATATAACCAAGAGTACTTAAAGTGGCTTTAAACACAAACCGACCAACAAACAAAGGCTGCGTATTAAAACATGTACATGATCGCACAGCCATACGAACGCCCCTGCTGTAGCAGCTGCATGGGCCCATGTGCCTCCAGATGGCCGTGCATATAATTACAAATGTACTTAATATAACTTTCAAAATCACACCAGACGTTAATGTTAATGTTAACCTTACACAAAGCCAAACGGGTCCTTATTAGGAGTGTAATATAACCACCATATACCAGGTTTGTCCATGTGTACGTCAATCAAATCTCATGTCCAATAGAAATTGTTTCAGGTATATGAAAATAGACGACAGGTATCACTTATTCAGTAATATGTCTCCAGTAATACAAAATTATGTTACCATCAATCAGTTTGTGATGATTTTTTATTTTTTCCCCTCATATCCATGCTAATATTGTTTGAATTAGGACTACACTTCTTTTTCTGAGTTTATATGAAATCAACCCCATGAAATTCGTATACCCCCATGGTGTAATCAAATGGTTTGCTATTACTTAAGAATAGGGAGTTGACTATAGAAAAACTAACACCACCGTATCCTAGTTTTCTGATTGACCCATTCTACCTACTTTTGAGTAGTTCATCTGCATTCATTTCCAGAAAAAAATATCTAAAACCATGATCCCATTGATATATATGAGATTTAAATAAGGATAAATTAATAAAAAGGATATCATCAATATTTGAAGGTAGAAGTAACAGACAGAGCTTGCCGGACAAGCTAAGGTGAACTGGAAATCGAAACCTAATAGCAACAAGATGGGCGTATAGACCACCGAAAAATTGTGTTAAAGAGTGTGAAGCACTCAGATGAAAGTTTGGATTTTACACATATTTTGCCTTCGAGCATCATGGAAGAGACAGTTATTGTCGAAATGCGCTTCTGATGCAGTAAAATATGTACCTTTAATGTTATGAATATATCTTCGAAAATGGGTTACAATCATTTGAGAACGACTGTATTATTGATGATCACAACTGTTACTGTAAAACTTAGACGTAGTGATATCAATTAATACTAAATATAACCATCAAGGAAGTTTGTATACTGGACACAAGTCAGTGGTCAGTGGACCAGCTGTAATGTTTATACACAGATGAAGGTATAACAACATTAACGGTACCTATTTTTCTGCACCAGATGAGCATTTCGAAAACAAATGTCTCTGCAGTGATACTCGAGGCCAAAATATTTGAAAATTCAAAACTTATCAAAGAAATGAAAAGCTTATAGACCAAAAGTGGACAAAAAGTATAGTCAAAGCTTTGCAGAAATGGAAAATTTGCTTAAAGGAAGCATAATTCTTCACAATTGTCATACATATTTGTGTTCAAACGTTACTTGGTATCTGTTGATAGACAATGTGCCAGTCTTTTATTTGGAACCTCTCCTATGGTTTGTCTGTCTTTTGTGTGTGTGTGCGGTGTTTTAACGAGTTTGGTGTTGAGGTTAAATTTTTTTCCGTACATTGCAAGACTCGATTTAAATGGTATATTAGAAAGATGTGTGTTCTTTGTGTAAAACTGCTAATTGTTGAGCCCAAGATTTCTTTCCTGTTTAACTGTGTTGTAGGAATGGCTTCTCATCGATGTATAGTGCACTGAAAGGATTATTATTCAACGAGACAACAACCTAACAAAACAAACAAACAAAAACATAACAAACATTTACAGGTTATCATAGGTAATCACCAATAGACAGGTGTTTATACGTCTATAAAGATCGACATTGTCCGAGTTTAAAAGATTGTGAATAAAACTAACTGAGACTATCAAAGATGTGATATCAACCTCTTCAAATGGTATACAACATTAACATTATGATAAAGGACAACAACTGTTGAGGTTCTGACATGATACAAGCACATGAACATGTAGTGAGTTTAAACTATGTGTTTTTTTTTGTTCTATAACCTCCGTCTTTTTATCTCAACCAACGGACAAACAACAAGTACATGAAAGGAAAATACAATTAAGCCAGAACAGGAAAAACAACAAAATCTAAAATAATGTAATAGATTACAAAAAGAAACAAGACAAACAAAACAATATTAAACATACCGTATCAAAAGAATGTTTGCAGTTAGTGTAAGCCATTTATAAGTACTTTAAAAATTGCTAAAATGAAATAATACCGGCCTACACTATAGTATCGGGAACTGCAATTCAGAATAGATTTCATACAGCAAAGTCCAAAACAGTTGAGTAAAACACGTGTAATACCCAAAGCAAATATAATTTCAATGAAAAATACAATAGGAACAATTTAGTCTTGCTTCAAAATATACCTTAACGAATTGATTTTCAGCCCTATAATATTAAACGAAAGCGTGGAATTATTCCATATTTGCTTCCATTCATATTAAGATTTAATACAAATGTTGAAACCCGGATGAGATATTTACTGGAGCAACATGGCAAAAAGATGCAACCTGACAATATTGATGACACACAGGCAAGTTATCAGTACATATTAATTTACAAGTCCGAATGGCGTCGCATTGAATTAGCCAGAAGTTTTGTTTTAAACTTTGGTACATATTTTTAAAATGAGTATTTTAAAAACTCCTACTGTAAAATAGCATTGAGATACTAGTGGTTTTCAAAAAGTCGAAGAAATGCAATATCGTGACCGAAAAAAACTCTAAACGAAAGACATCAAAAGTCCATGAAACTACATAGAAAACTAAAGATACAGCAAACCGGGGATGAACTTGGCTGATCCGGAAGGTTACGAAGTCCTTGTTCCTCACTATGACATCCGTCTTTTTGTCTTGCAATTACAAATTATGTGACTTTTTTTTTTATCATTTTATGTATATACCAGAACCTTTTATAGTGAACTTACAACCAATTGGGTCCATGGAGAACAAGCCAAACACTAAAGCGTTCATTTAGAAATGATATGGTACATTGTGTATTTTTTGTCACCCGAATTACCACTGCTACAATTAAAGTTTTGGATTAATGTATATTGGCATGGGCACATTTTATATTTTACTAAATATATCCAATGTATTTTATTTGTAAAAGTTCTCGTTTTTCAATTGCAATACAAATGTGCACCAAACAATCCAGTTTTTCTATAGTATTTAGATTTTGAGTACAAATGTTATTTCATCTCCAGAATTGGAACTACCACCATGATCGGACCGTTGAACGCCTTTTATGTGAGAGTTAATACCGGAATCGCATTTATCTGCTTCGTTCGAACAAGTGGATAATTCACCTGCAGACATGTCCAGAGCTTCCGGTGAAAGAATTATTTCAGAGCTTGCCATTTGTTCATGTTCAGTAGAGGTTCTCATTTCATTATTGCAAGCGTCCGTCTGATAAGTAGGATCGGGACTCTTGAGCATTCCAGAGAACATTTTGGGATTAAAGTCAACATCATAATCATTTCCGAACTGATCTACTGATATAACAGATGGCACCAATGATTGGGTATGCGATTCAGGCTGTGAAAGATTATCAAAAAGATTTTGGTCATGATTTTTCTTTCGTTTGAACACCAAAATAATAATGTACAGAACAATAATCAGAAAGACAACACAGCCAACAGATATTCCAACAGCCATTTCGACTTTCTCGTTAGACGATGACAATTCCTGGTAGGTAGCTTGGTCGTCCTCAGACTGAGTAGTCGAGTCGTTCACAGACAGAGTTGTGACGTAATTAACAGTTGTAACGTAATCAGACTGAGTAGAATGCGCCAATCCAGGACTTGTTTGTTCATCTGTTAAAAGTTGAACATATGATTAATAATAACGTTTGAAAGAACTTTATACTTATAATGTTAATTCTATGGTTTAAGGGTCTTTATGTGGATTGTTTGTTAAGCATTGACAGTGACGTCACATATGTAAACAGGATTGTGTTGTCTAAATGATTGGTAAAATCCTGGAACTTGCAGACTATTGAACTTCAAAATAGTCCGTCCCTTCTCGCCTTCAAAAATTATTTTGAAAGTAACCGTGAAATTAAGCCAGTATTTTATTATTGAGGTTCCAGGTCTATTCAAATATATCATGCGAGAATAAGAATGAGCTGTAGTGGACTCAACAAACACCTCTATGACAGAATCTTAATACAATCCCCAAAGGTGTTTGTGGAGACCCTGAAACAACGGAACACTATTTATTAAAATGCATAATAGTCAATGTACTTCGCCAAAGACACATCCACAACCAACAGATTCCTATTAGAATTTCCACTAATGTCTTACTTTTTGGCTCCGATAGACTAACAGTAGAACAGAATATACTGATATTCAAAGGTGTGCAAAACTTTATTATAAGTAGCAATCGATTTACATTCGCAATCAAATAATTCTATTTATTCACTCTCCCCTATATAAAGAAATATTATTTCATTCTTTAATAACACTCTCATTTTTCTAAAACACCTTTCACTCCCTTCCTTTGCTATTTTTTTATATATAAATAAATTTATAATGAACTTTCTCTATGTTATTGTATTTATTGACTGTATTTTGTTACGTACATATTAGTTTGCTATTCAGCATGTAATCATAGCTTGTAATTTTATTTTTGAATTTAGGGAGACGAATTTATATCAGAGCACTGCTCTTGTTTCCTAATCCCAATTATTGAATCACTTGTATATTTCGTATTTATGTCTTTACCCTTGTAGCTATTTATATAACGATTTCTTTAATAAATTATGTTTACACTAAATGATAGGTTTGG